TGTGTGGTGTCGGATATTAACTAGACTTCTTGTGGTGATCATTTCACAATATCTACAAATACTGAATCATTATGTTGTACACCTAAAACTAATGTAATATTATATGTCAGTTACATCTAAATTTTAAAAATATGATTGCCAAAACTTAAAAATGCTGGAGGGCTGAGAGATAAATTCTAGGATATGGGTGGGGAGGCGAGACAAAGGGATAGATCACAAGAGATTAGAGAGAATAAGGACCAATTTGAGAGATCTAAAGCAGTCTCAAAAAAAAAAAAAAGTCCTTAAATGAGAGAACAGAGGAAATAAAGAAGAAAAGAACACTTCTGGGATCTGAACAAAAGCACAACTATTCAGAAGGAAAGGACACCAGGAGTGCTGAGCGGGACCGGAGAGGCAGGATGGGACCCAACTCACTGGTTTCTCTAAGTCGTCTGCACACGCACTGCTTCAGGTTGGGGCAACTTGATCAAATTTTCGGGGGCTCTCGGGTGAGGTTACGTCATAGCGCGTGGCTGGGGGCCTCCCAGTGGCTCCTTCTCCTCCCTTATCAAGTTGGTGCCAAATTCCTCACCAGGCATTATTATTATAGCTCCCAGTGATGAGGATTAAAGGCATGAACCACAGGAACCCATTTACTATGTGCCTGGGTACGAGGTTGCTCTTGTCATCATTACTCTCCACAAGGTCCACAGCCACTGTCTCGAGCTCCTTCCAAAGGTGTGCCATGTTCCCTCTCCTCAGCTCTCAGGGATCTCGTCTGTCCCCAGGGACCTCACCTCCTGAGGAGCTGGAAGAAAGGTGGTGGTTTTCAGGGCCCTTCCTTCTCCGCAGATGACCCCAGGACCCTCCCTCCCCATTCTGCTCACATAAACAGAGCTCACATCACTGAATCACAAACCACAGGAGTGTTGCTCCACTGGGTAGCCTGGTCAGTTTGTAATCCTCGTAGATTGTGCTGTAAGGCAGGAAAATGCCCACTGAGCAGGGGCACAGATTGGCACCACGCCCTTCGCTGCTGTAAGGCAGCGACGGTGTGAGGGGTCAGCGACTCCCAGGTCATGGCCATTCTGCAGGTCCACCTCCATCACTCTCTCTCCTACCTTAACTCCAGGACACGGTCTACCTTAATCCCTGTGGCTGTCATCTGTCATCTCCCAGGGCCCATTTCCCGCTTCTTTGAAGACATCAGCTTGTGGTTCACACTATCCCTCATGACCTCGTTGTCTCACAATGTTCTGGTAACGTCAACATCTACGTTGGTGAACCAGAAGACCCACCATAACCACATACTTCCTTATCCTCTTTAGATGGATATATGGTCACTTGAAACAAGGACATTTCCCAGTCCCCCTTGTAACAAAGTGTGGCCATGTGACTAATGGCCCCTGGGATATAAGCAGAAGTGCTGTGCGCACCTTTGGAAAGTATCCTTAAGAGGAGGAAATGTATCCTTTTCTATCCTCCTTTCATGCCAGATGGAGTGTGAACCTGATGGCTAGAGCCTGGCAGCCAATTTGGACTATGAGGTGAAAGCCACATATTGCAGACATCAAAACAAGAAGATAGGAGCCTGGCCCGATACCTCGAGCTATCATGCCCTCCCTAAGCTGCTGTTTGTGGGAGAACAATAACCCATCTTGTTTAAATCATTGCCATTTTCGTTCCATACAGTTGAACCTAATCCTGTTCTCAGGGAGTTTAAGAGACTTTCTTCAGTCACACAGTAAGTAACTGGCAGAGCCAGGGTCTGAATGCTGGCAGTTTCACTCCAGAGCCCATCAGGACACTCAGGGAAGTGGGGTCTGCCCCATCCCGAGGTCACTACGGGGGGCACAGCTCAAGGGACTGCAGTCACGAGCTGCAGGCGGCAAGAAGCAGCCGAGTGAGCACATGAGGGGGCCAGAGAAGGGAGCAAGAGGAACTCACGACTCGGAAGGGAGTGGATACACCTCCCGGACACACTGCATCCCCTTCCCACTGTGGTACAGGAGGGGACATGGAGGACAGACAAAGCTGGCATGCGGGTGCACTCCAGCTACACCGGGTTCCACTCCACTCTCTCTTTATCCCCCGGATACAGATGCCCATTCCCACAGCAATTCCACACTGTTACAACTCTGTAGCTTCATGTTGTTTCAGGAGACCCGGTGCACTTTCAGATTTAAATCCCTCTCTCCAGAATCTGGGAAAAGAACTCTCAGGAGGAGCCCCATCTTCTCTTTTCACCACCGGGTTTCTCTGCTTCAACAGAACGGAGAGCCCGGAAGCCGATCCATCCGATGTGAAGACTCGGTTCTACTGACCCGGGGAAGGAGGGACTGCTGAGTGCACGGTGCTGGGACCACCGGCTAAAGACACAGAAAAACATAACTGGGTTCCTGCTAACACGCAAAACTAAACTCCAGATGGATTAAACATCTTAATATGAAAATAAAAACTTAAGCTGGTAGAAAACCTTGAGGGAGGGGAGGATCTCTTAAAGAAGATTCAGAGGCATAAGTCATAAAGTAAAAGACTGATACATTTAGCAACACTAACATTTAAAAATGACTTTTGGGGGCCAGCCCGGCGGTGCTGGCATAGAGGTTAAGTTGGTGCACTTTGCTTCGGCAGCCCAGGGTTCTCAGGTTCAGATTCTGGGCGCGGACCTAGCACCACATTCTCAAGCCATGCTGAGGCAGCATCCCACACATAAAATAGAGGAAGATGGGCACAGAGGTTAACTCAGGGCCAATCTTTCTCAGCAAAAAAGAGGAGGATTGGCAGCGGGTGTGTCAGGGCTAATCTTCCTCAAAAAAAAAAAAGACTTTGGCATCACAAAAGACTCCAAGGGAGGGCAGAGGTGAGGACAAGCCACAGCCTGGGAAGAAAACTTGAAACACATACAATTGACCAAAGATTAGCATCTCTCCAGAATATCTTAAGTGCCTAATATCCATAAGCAAACGGCAAACCATCCAAATGAAAAACGGGCAAAGGATAGGAACAAATAACAAATCAGGAAACCTACACAGTCAAAACACGTGAAACGATGCTTAACCTCAGTGCGAACTAAAACCTCAAGGAGCTAACACCCACCCAATTAGCAAAACTGAAAAATCTGATGGTACCAAGTGCTGGCAGAGTCGAGGAAAAGGGGGAACTCTCAGATCCTCTGATGGGAGGATAAAGGGATGTAGGTGCTTGGGGAGCAAGTGGGAAGATCCTACCGGTACGCACGCAAACTCACAGCACAGAATGCTCAGGGCAGTGGTTAGAACACAGAAATCCTGCCGAAATCTGATAACGGATAAATAGTGGGGAATCATGCAACGGAATACTGAACACGAGTTAAAATAACTGAACCAGAGCTACATTTACACACGTGAACGTCTGAGAAGGCAGTATTAAAATTTTTTAAACTGTCAAATATGTACAGCGTGGTGTCATTTCCATAAAGTTTAAAACTAAGCTAAACGTGGACGGGAAGGCCTCCAGTCGACTTCAGGACAGTGGAAGGAGTGGATAAGACTAGGGTAGTGTATAAACAGACTTCGGCATTATAAGCTTTTATTTGTCAAAAAAAATCTGGAGCAAATATGGAAAAAATATTAAGATGAGTTGTCGGGTCACATGGGGACACAGCTGTTTGCACATCAGTCCTCTCTTCTTTTCAGCATGTTTGCTCTCCTCCACTGGTGTGCCGAGGCCCCCAGTCTCCCGGAAGCTTCTTCCGCAGGTAGCGTCTCCCCATTGTCTTCTCTCCAGTGGCTCTCACCCTTTGGTCTTCTCACATTGACTTTTTTTTTTTGCAGTCTTAACACTTTCCCTGGGCACCAATCATCTCTCCTTCCTTGTCAATCTGCCTCAATCTGGGGCCCTTCATCTTCTGCTTTCACCTCTCAGTGTGGCTTCCGTCCCAACGCCCTGGCTAGGCCTTCGACAAAGACGTCTTGAAGCCCAACAAATCCAAACACGTGCCAAACCTCATCTTTGGAAGCCCCACCCTGAAACTACTCTTTCACAGGCAAATATTGCCCTCGTTGCTGAATTGAATCAGCTTCTCCCAGTTTTTCTTCGCCTCTCATCTCTTGGGAGACTGTTACCATCTGGGACCAGGCTTCATCTTCCTAAAATGCTCCCTACTTTCGGCTCTCGCGACTGTGACACCGCCACCCTGGTCTCTGACCGCAAGTGAGTCACAGCCAGTTATAGCTTTCTGGATTCCAGCCGCCAGCCAGTGCTCGGAAATGCCACCACCGGGCCAAATGGCCTCCCCACGTTTTTCTCGGCTCTTCTACAAACAGCCTGGGGAAAGAAAGCTCCTGTGAAACATCAAAATACATAATTCTTTTATTCCTCTCATGATAAATAGCCAGCTTCACAGCACTCACGTTATTTCTGGAACAAGGAGACAGAGCTACCAGTTTGAATTGCCAACACAGCACCTGTGTCTTCTCAGCTGTCAGCCAGCCAGGCTCCCCAGTGGGGCAGCAGCCGCTCTGCACTGCTTCAAGGGGCCCGAGTCCCGGTCCAGGGGCATTGCTGAGATTCTCTTTCCACCCGTGAATGATGGAGAGAGAAAAAGGAAAAACCAACCCGTCTACCCCTACACCGCATTGCCTAGAGAGAAGGCCATAGAAGGAAGGAGAGCGAGTCTGAACATGGGCTCCCACCCAACCCGCCCTCACGCTGGTCTCCGTTGAGGACTGACACTTGCTCTGTTTTGGCAACCGTCTTGCAGTGTTTGTGACAACATGCAGAGCTGAAGCCAGCAGGATGCATCTGCTCGGCGCCCACAGCCTGTCACCTCGGAGCGGGCAGCCAGCAGGCCACGCCGCTCTCCGCACGCCTCTGCTCAGGGAACTTTCTAGTTAAAGGAATGAGCTCAGAGAAGCAGGGTGGTCAGGCCTCTCCTTCATAACCCGGCAAATCCCTCCCATGCCCGGAGCACACGTTATCCCGCGAGAGGCCATGAGATCCGGGACGAGGGGCCGACACAGAGCAGCAGACCAAACTCCAAGACGACAACGGGGTTCATCCATTTATTGATATTAATATTAAGCCACTTCTCAGCAGTAAATGCTGTAACAAGACTTGGTTTCTAAAGGTGATAAAACAACAACACTGTGGACAAAGCACTGGGAACACTCCTCGAGGAGAAAACTGGCTTTCTTCTCCGGCCAGCGTGACCAGGTGCCAAGTGTCGTCCTGAGCAGGAACTCCTGGTCCCGAACATACACACACCGTCCTTCGTCTGGGCCCTTGGAACATTCCAGGCCACCGGCGTGAAGAGGCGGCCTCCTCCATCTGCCTCAGTCCATCTGGACCCACTTCCTGCATCTCCCGTTGGTGAGGCGAGTGCTCACGAGGGGGTGAGCCACGGTCAGGTGACAAACAACTAGCACCAAAAAGCCGGATCTTCCTCTTCACGAAGTCAACACAGTATTTTTCCTCGTCTTTTAAGGAAAGAAAAGTCTTAAAAATATATGGCACTAGAGTGTAAAACTAGACAACGGTATCCGTCACAATCGCCTCAGCCTCCGGCCCGCAGGCCCCACACCCTTCAGATGTAGAGCTGATGGAAGGCCAAGGTGTCCATGAAGGGGCGCACCAGATTGTCCGTGGAGAAGTAGAAGACGAGCCCGAACGTGATGGAGATGGGCAGGGCGGGCAGCGCCTTCTTGAACACAGCGAGCAGCAGGAGGGTCAGGCACAGGCCCTGCGGGAAGGAAGGCGAGGGGAGCCGTTAGCGATGGTTTAGGCCCCGGGCGCAGAAGCTCGTCGAGGACTTGTCGGACAACAGCCCTGGACACCCCATGAGCTTCCCAGGTCCTCGCGACAGCTCTGCGAGGAGCCGGCGGGCAGGAGTCTCACCCCATAGAAGTGTCCCGCACATTAACGGGAGAACCAGAAAGCAGGGCTCCTGATCCAGCACGGTGCCACCTCCACCAGAATACCTCCCCCTGTCCGGCTACAGCAGTGCCCTGTGTGACCTGATGGCAGGATGCCTCCCTTTGGGGACATATATTTATACAAGAATGGCATGGGGTCGACCCAAATGCCAGCAAGGTTGTCAGCAGCTGACACCAAGGGACCCAAAGATGCTGTGTGACCCGCCCCCTTGGAGGCAGGCACAGCAGCTGCCCAACCAGTCCGAGCGCCAGCCGATGATGCAAGAAATGGTCCAGGGCAGGGACGGGAACCAGAGCGCCCGCCCTATCATTGGGGAGAGCAGGGCTTCAGGGCAGGCGTTTGAGGAGGAGCGTGGGGTCCACCACCCCATCGCCGACACACATTGCAGGCAGATAAAAAATCTCCAAAACACTGGCGCCTCGGCCTCAATGTGCCACGTGTGGCCCGGAGTTCCCTGGAGATGAGACTGAGCATGCGCCACTCAGAGCCTCCATCCCTCCGAGATGGGATCATCCGAGGACCATTACCCCACTGTGTGCATCTGGCCACGTTAAGTGACTATAGGAGCCCCCAAATTTCACTGCTGGGGTTCAAAATGATGGGCCCCTCCTCCCGGGCCCCAGGAGACCCCTGGGATTCAGAACCCCATGGTGTCTGGGTGGCATGGAGGGAAAACATGCAGCCCGGGAGTCAGGGACCTGAGTTCAGATCACAGCTGGTCCCTCCCCAGATTTGTGCCCTTGGGCAAGGCCCTCAACCTATTTCCTCGTCCCTAAATCTCAGGTAGCCATTCCTGCCTCACAGGTGTCATGAGACAACGCACAAAGCTAGCCAAGCCCTTGACACCCTGGTATGCATGCTCAGGAACGTCAGAGCCCCTCAGCCAGCCTTCCCCTGCACTGTCCCTGCATCTTGTCAATGACCAGGGCCTCCTGTGAACCTCAGTCTCATCTTGAGAATCTGCCTGGCGGCCCAGCCCAGCCATCACTTCTGCCCCTCCGAGGGACGACAGCATCTGAAAATTCCCCTGGGATCCTGGGCCCCCATGAAGACCCCCAGGGGCTCCACCACTCGGGGACAGGCAGGGAGCATTGCCCGGCCCACTCACGATGAGGATGGCCACGAAGCAGGCCAGCGTGGTGTTCCAGTCCCCGCTGCCCGTGGCTGCCGCCTTGCCCACCAGCACGCTGTAGAAGATGAAGTCCCCGAGGCCGAGCTTCACGCCCCCTGTGTGGGGAGGAGAAAGTGAGCCCGTGAGTCTCAGAAGCCCCACGAGGGAGCGGCAGAGAAGGCTGACACCCGCCAAACAGCCCAATGGCTCGGCCCAGCCCAAGGCACCCAAGGGGCCCAGGAGCCACAGTCCTCAGGCTCTGGGGGACCAGACGGGGTAGGCACCAGCCACTCACCTGGACTCTGGGACAAGGACTGGCTGCCTTGGAAAAACAGCAGCCAGTGGGAAAAGGGGGGAACCCGTGGACTGGGTGACTTGCAATCTGGGCTGTAACACCTGGGATTTCTGGTGACGCAGGTAAAACCGGTGCTCGGCACTTAGTTGAGTCAAGAAAAGAGCAAGTAGAATGTACTGTCTGGGGTTGGTGGGAGGCTGCACAACTCGGGGCTAAGTATGAATTATAAATATTTTTTAGGAACCTTAATTTCACTACTTTCAAGAACGTGCACAACACCTGGACGTCCTCTAGAGACCCGTTCCCCTTAAAATAGGTAAAGAGAATTTGTAATCAGCTTCTCCATTACCGACAAGTAAATGAGAGCTTCTAGAATGTTTTCAAGTTTGTTTCCTTTAGTATAATCTCCCCTGGATGCTTGTTTATAGGATAATTTTGTTCACCGCAGACAATAAAAATGTTTACATGATAAACTGGAACTGAGTGGACCCTCCCGGAGGAAAGGCTGCTGGTCCACCCACTGCCTGCTCCCTTCCGGGCTCCAAACAAAGGCGCCCCTCCTCCTGGTCCGGCAGCGTGCTCCGGCTCGGCCCCAGCGGTCCCTCCGTCCACCAGACCCCTTCTCTGATTTCAGCGCCCCGTGGCTGGCTCCTCCCGTGGCAAACGACAAACACCTTTCAGCTCCTCGTCTCTTCTCTCACTTCCATCCCCACTCCTGTTCTCTCCCCTCACTTCTCTCTCTCCTCTTTCAATCAGTTCTTTCTCAAAAGAACTCTGTGCTCCCTTCCCAGTCACTTTAGAGACCTAGAGTCACCAGGCCCCACATCCCCCAACCAGTGAGCTCTGGTAAGGCCACCACATGGCCCCCAGATGACACCTGTGGCCATCCTGCTACTCGCCGTGTCGGCACCCTGTCCTCCTCTCGCTGCTCCCCAGCGTCCTCCCCACAGGCACCCTCCCCTCCATCCTGTAAACATTGCCACCTCGGGTTCTGTCCCTCTTGCCCTTGCTTCTGACCCTGCACCCTCCCTAGGTACCCTTTCTGGTGCCCATGGTTTTGACAACTATACACTGATGCCTCCAACACCAGCCTCAAACCAATGCCACTCCCCTTCGTGTGTCCATGGCATGTCCATCCAGATGTCCTGCAGACCCTCCCACCTGCCTGCCCACGCTCCCCCGGGTCACCGGCCACACCTCCCAGCCTGTGCAGCAGCTCCATCTCCTCTCAGTCTGCTCCTGAGCTTGGCCCTCCATGTGTCTTCTCCGCCTGGACCACGGCCAGGCGCCCTCCTAGTCTCCCAACAGAGTGTGTCCCTCACCACTGCCAGGGGTCTGTGCGGAACGCGGCTCTGCTCATTTTATTTCCCTGCTGACACCACGCACGCTTCTCCACCGCCCCCAGGACAAAATCTGAGCTCCCCTAGGAGGGCAGCAAACCCTTCAAGTTCAAGCAAACCCGGCCCTCCCACCGCTCCCAGCCACACCCCAAACCTCTGCCCGGCCACCCAACAGCCCCAGAGCTCCCTGCGGGCTTCCTTCTCTCTCACCTGAGCCTCTGCCAATGCTGTCGTATTATAAAGAATCTGACTGGCCTTTGTCCCTGGCTCCTGGGAGGGAGACTGCATCCTCAGAATCTCCCAGCTAAGAGGAGTGTCTTTGTGATTTGGGAGCCCCTCAGATCACACTGGAGTTTATGCAAATGAGAAGCTCAGGATAGAGCTGGCCGCCAGAAAGACCATCCCTGTGATGAGGGGCTGGGACTCAGGGCTCTCACGACCTCTGGGGAGGGGAGGGCACCTGGAGGTGAGGCTCAGTCCTGTGAGCAGTGATTCAATCAATCGCGCCGATGCAATGAGACCCCAGCAAGAACTCCAGACACTGATGCCTGATGAAGGCATCCATGTGCGAGGCCGGGGGTGACGCCAATTCCACTGGGAGAGGCCACGGAGGCTCTGTGTCCGGGACCCTCCCAGACGTCGCCCTGTGTGTCTCTTCACTTGGCTGCTTCTGATTCGTATCCTTCACAATCAAACTGTAGTTGTAAGCCCGGCACTTTCCTGAATTTCTGTGAACTGTCAAACCTGAGGGGGTTGTGGGAACCCCCAGATTTGTAGCCAGTCGGTCAGAAGGGTGGGTGGCCTGGAGACCCCCAGAACTTGCGGCTGGTGTGTGAAGGGAGGGTGGTCTTGTGGACTATGCCCCGTAGCCTGTGGGATCGTGGGATCTGTGCGGACGCCGGGTGGTCAGGGCCAGGACTAAACTGCAGCCTATCAGCCTGTGTGCTGGGCGACCAGACTCACCCTTCAAGGCCCACCTCACGTCCATCTTGTCCCCATCTGCCCTGAGTACTCTGTACCTACCTAACCGCTCCCTGCCTGGGCCGCTCGCGTGGGGAACTTATCAAGGACACAGGCTGTTTTAAGGCTGCAGCACCTCCCTGCCCCCACGTGCCACCAGCACACAGCAGGTGGTCCACAACTCTACTGACAGAATGACTACCTTAGTCCCCTCAGGAACACAGCCATACCTCAGAACGTCTCTGGGCGTGTCTTCAAGACCATCTTCCATGTAGGCTCTTCCTGTCTCCCCAGCCACACGGTCTCTGCCTGGGGAAGCCACCACCCCAACTCTGCCCCTGCCCCCTGCTCCAGAGCCCACTGTCAGGCCCAACGTGGAGCAGGGCCGTTAGCAGCTGACCCGCACAGCCCAGCCTGTCCTGAGCCCAGAGCCCATGCCCGCTGCATTCCCCACAGCCACACTGGGACATCCTACAGGCCACTCAAGCACACACAGCATGGAATCCTCCTCCTCCCGATCACGTCCCTCCCCCCACCAACTCAAAACCCACCATGGCTCCCACTGCTCCTGGGACAAACTGGAATCGCCATTTTGACCTAAAGGCCCTTCCAGCCCCTGCCGGCCTCCCAGCCCATCTCTGCACTTTCGGTCTCAGCATCCTGCCTTCACTTTGTCTAGCTCACTGGGCGCCGTCTGCCTCAGGGTCTCTGCTCCTCTGTCCTCCTGGCCAGAAATACCCCCACCATGTGTCCCCCTCTCCTGGTTACCCCTGTGCTCGACCTCCAGAGCTCAGCACCCAAGTTACTTCCTCAGGTAATTCTCTCTGACCCCTAAGACAGGCTGAGCACCTCCATCAGTGCTCTCCAGCACCCCATGTTTTTCCAGTCCCCCCCCAGTGCACAGAGTGTGGGCCGCCCTTAGATGGTGAGTCCCACCAGAGCCGGGCCTGTACTGCCTGTACCCACCCGCCCCTAGCACAACGCAGCCACACAGCTGGTACTCAATCCACGTGTGTTATATACACGGGGAGCCTGAATGCACAAGTGCCCGTGGCCTGCCGTCAAGGTTCCACCCTGGCGGGTTTCTCCCTGACTTCTGCAGAGCCGTCTCTGATGTAAAGAGGGGCTTCTCCCCTCATATCCTCACCTGACTTGAGGGGGCCCCACCTCTGCCCTCCGCCCCCACCCCCGGGCCCACGCAGACCATCTGGACACGGGCACCTTACTTTCCTCCTCTTCCTCCAGCTCCTCCCCTGGGTAGCCAGGCAGGGGGGGCTCACAGACTTCTGGGTACGAGGGCTCCCCAAAACTGTCATAGGAGTCTTCTTCTGGGTGTCCAGGAAGAGAAGATGACCGTCATCGCCATGAGGAGGGGGCATGGAAGAGAGACAAAAGCCCCGTGAGAGGGTGCTTGGATCTCGGGGAGCAAAGCCAGTGCTGAGGGCAGCCCTGCTCTCACCCACCAGCCAGCCCAGCCCCAACACAGAGAAAGAGTAACAGGGCAAGGGAAGGAAGGGGAACGGGGCTGAGGCAGGAGATGAGAGCCCCTTCACTCCATCCCCACGATGTGCGTGTCCAGGAGGGTCAGTCTCCGCTTCTGCCCCTCCTGACCTCGTGCCTTCTGGAGAGGCCAGGCCAGGCTGAGAGGGGTGCAGGTGAGGAGCTGCCCCAGCGACCACAGGCTGTCAGCCCCCCAGTACTTACCCATCTCGGGGTCGTAGGGGAGCTGAAGGGCTCCCTGGGAGGAGGGGTCCAGCTTGGCCATGCCCACGGTCCACACCATGGCGGCTGGGGAAAGAGGAGAGGAGCATGCCTCAGGCGGCGCTGTGGCTGCCCCGGGCCTGGGAGGCAGGTGGGCCAGTGTGCGCCCCAGAGAGCCTGCACAGGACCCTCCGTTCCCAGGGGACTTGCTTATACCCCACTGTCAGGCGGCCACCGGGGAGGGCCCCAGACTCACTGACCAGGTGTGGGCAGACAGTGCTTCTTCCTGTCTTTTTTACCTGCTCAGAAAAACACTGATAATAATAATACTATCAGTGAACAGGGTTGATGAACTAATTGCGTTTTTGTCTTACTGTGGTAAGAGAGACGTAACAGAAAGTGAATCAACCGTTTTTAAGTGTACAGAGTAACGGTGTTAAGAATATTCATGTTGTCATGAAACATCTCCAGAACTTTTTCATCTTTCCCAACTGACACTCTGTACCCACAACAACTCCCCATTTTCCTCCCCCACCGCCATTCTACATTCTGTCTCTATTAATTTCACTACTCCAGGTACCTTGTATTAAATGGAATCAGACAGCACTTATCTTTATGTGATTGGCTTAATGCACTTAGCATAATGTCCTCAAGGTTCATCCGTGTGGTAGCATGTATCCTAACTTCCTTCCTTTTTTAAGGCCGAATAGTATTCCACTGTATGCATATATCACATTTTGTTTACCATCCATCCGTCCATAGATATCTGGGTTGCTTGCATCTCTTGGCTATTGTGAATAAGGCTGCTATGAACATGGGTGTACACAAATCTGTTCAAGACCCTGCTTTCAGTTCTCTTGGGTATATGTCCAGAAGCGGGATTGTGGATCACGTGGTACTAATTTTCTTCCCTCTCTCTGGCCCAGAAACTCTCCTGAACTTGCATCTCGTCTCTCCAACTCTCCAGCCGAATGTCCAGTGAGCATCTCAGACTCAACATGCCCCAAATGCTCTCAACAACCACGCTCCGGCCTGCCCCACAGTCTTCTCCCTCTCAGGAAACTCCATCCTTTCTGTTGCTCAGGCCCAAAGCACTGACTCCATCCTCGACTCTTTTTCTCACAATCCGTGTCCCAACCACCAGCAAATCTTGCCAGTTCTGCCTCCAAAACATCTCCAGAACCTAAGCACGTCTCAGCACCTCGACTGCTGCCCAGGGCCAAACCCCATCCCTGCTCTCCTGACTGAGTCAGCCTCCAAACCCGGCCCCTGCTTCCACTCTTGTCCCTGTACACTTTGTTCTTCACTCAACAACCTCAGTGATCCTGTTAAAGTGTAAAGAATGGAAAGTCAGGCCGGTCCCAAATCTTCCAGAGGCGCCACATCTCACTCAGGAGTAAGAGCTGAAGTCCTCATCACGGCCCCAGGTGATCTGGACCTGCCCCATCACCTCCCTTTGCTCCCTCTGCTCGGGGCCTTTGCACTCGCTGCTGTTCCTTCTGCCTGGAATTCCATTCCCAAATTTTCCTAAGGCAGGTCTCTGTCAAATGTCACCTTAAGACAGAGAGCTTCCTTGACCACTTTATGCAAAACAGCATCCTTGCTCCCCTGGAGTCCTCAGCTCCCCAGCCCTGCTTCATCCTTCTCAGGGCACTCGCCTCCTGACCTGCATGCTCGGCTGTTTCGTCACTGTCTGTCTCCCCTCCTAGGACGAAAGCTCCATCAGAGCAGAGGCGGGGAACACAAGCCCAGGCGCCGTGTCAGTCTCTCCACACAAGGTCTCTGCTCCTCCTCAGAACGTGCCGGAATGTGCCCTCCCCCACAGGGCCAGGCTGCTGACGACTCTCCTCTACGAGCTCGACTCTCCGAGGACAGAGCTCACACAGCGCTCTGGAGCCGCTGCATGAACTCTTCCCAGGGCAGCTGCAGACGCTCAGCCCCAGAATCCAGGCTCTACTTAAAAAGGCCCCCGCCCACAGATGCAAGGCATCAAAACCACAGGGCTGTGGGCTCCATGAGGCCCGGACAACGGGTGTCCTGTGTCCCGCTGCACCCCCAATGCCCAGCTCAGCACCGCCACAGAGCGGGGATCTACGCAGGTTTGCTGAAGGCACACACAGACCCAAATCCGTACACGGGCCGTGAGGCCAGCGCCATCCCCGAGCCGTCCCTCAGACACCCACCCTCACCCAGCTGTGCGGCTGTCCAGGAGCCCAGTGAGAGGCAGGCCCCTTGCGCTCCCCACACCCCCGCCCTGGGGAGGCCCTCTCCAAAGTCCCTTCTCAGGAGCCCCGAGGGCTGACGGGGTGGCCCTGGGCTCACGGAATGCACCTGTGCCCACCACACATCACTGGAGGCTGGATGGGATGAAGGTGTGGGGTGGGACCACGGCCCCGAAGCCCCTTTCCTGACCTAACTCTCCAAGCTCCTTCCTTGTAACAGGAAGATACAGCCCACCTTTGTCTCCAGAAGTGGAGCCAGCCCTGGGGTCACCGTGGCCGCCTCCTCCCCTTCGGTCAGGGGGAGAGTAACTTTATCTCATCGTCAACCCTGCAGGCTGTGGTGGGAAGCAGCCCTGGTCCCACCTCAGCCACCTTCGGAGCCCAGGCTCGGGCAGAGGCACGCGGTCACTCACATGAGTATATCAGGGCAGGAAATATGGGCTCGTTTCTCTCCTGGGCAGTCTCCACCAGCATTCTCAGTGGCCCTTTGGGGCACAGCACAGCCACGAGATCTGGGAAAACAAAGACGTCCTTGGCAAGTTAAAAAAGACATTTATTCCCAAGCAGCCCCCAGAGAGAGGAGCTAGCCCTCTGGCACCGGAGCGTAGGGTCTGTGTCCTGGACCACGCCCTGCCATTCGTTCTAGCATCCCAAGCCACCAATTTGCAGCCACAATCTTGAGTCTGCGCTGGCTGGAGCCCAGAGTGGGGTCTAAGTGGCTAACTGCAAACAAGGAATCGTGTGGGCTCAGAGACCCAGAGGACAGGCTCACGGCCCCATTTCTCCGAGCCTCGAATTCTTTGTCCTTAGAATGGAAAGAGCAGCACTGGGGATGGTCATCATGCCAACACCAGTTAAAGGGCCGCTAACATTCTGGATGCTTGTTCTTTATAGGTCCTGTGCCTGATCCCACAGTTGTCCTGAGGAGCGAACAATGTACAATGTGTCAAGTGCTTAACAGCACAAATATTCAATAAACACCAACTCTTATCAGTAACCACGGCACGGCCATGAGTCTATGGGACCCCGTGAGTCTGAAGGTGGTGAACCTTGCAGAAGGGAGACCATCCCGGCTCCTCGGGGAAGGAGGGGACGTTCAGCATCCGCCACCCTCATGCAGCAGTGAGAAGGACTTAGCCCCAGATGCCCCCCGCTGCCCACCGCCAGGCTCATGGCCTGCCAGCGCCCACCTACCGTACACAGAGATGGCGCCCAGGATGACCCAGGCGGACCACTCCGGCAGGTACTTGATGAACACCAGGGCCATGAGCGCACTGATCATGATGAGGTAGGCCTGCTGCAGCACGAGGGGGCCCTTCCAGTGGATGCACACCATGCCCACCGCGCCGAAGTTCCAGACGGTCAGGAACAGCGTGGGGTAGTCCATGGCCACGTTGTAGGTCTTGAGCACTTCCCTGCAGATCCGAAGTCGAGCCCTCAGGGCGGGACACTCAGGGGAGGTGTCGCACCCAGTTAGACGCAGCTCAACATCCCCCGCTCCTCAACCATTCGGTCCCAACCCGGGTTCTTCCAACCTCTGGCCTTGTCTACTAATACCCCCTCCCCCATTTCCATGAGCCCTACAACTAACCACTGGAAATCTTTCGTAGAACGAGGTGGGAGTACACGGATGTCTCATCCTTGGGTCAGTTCACATACACGTGCACTGGCCCAACCTGGAAGGCCCTTTGCCCGTGGGCAAGGTCAACATCCCCAGGCTAATATCCCAAATCCAGGGCAACAGAGCAGATCACTTCTCCACAAACGAGGAAGTACCCAGGCCCGGCCCAAAGATTAGAATGTAAATTCTGAGAGGTTTCTAACCCCCTTGGGTTCACGAAGGGCCTCCTCCGTGATGGCTCTGCTTATTTGTTTTAAATCAGGAAGCAGAACGAGACGGGTGGCCCACCATGCAGCTTCACTCCTGCGGCAAGAAGGCCTGGGCTCCTGGGGCAGTGACACCGGGGGGGAGTCTGGAGCCCAGTGGGAGCCCCTCCTCGCACAGGTCCTTCGCATCCACGGAGGGAGTGGTCCCCAAGGACACTGCTGCTCTCCAGGTGCCACTTACCCGAGGTAGATATAGCTGAAGAGGAACAGCAACATCAGAGAGGACATGATGAGCCAGCCGTGGATGAACTAGACAACAGAGACAGGGGTGACCACAGGCCCAGATCACAAGGCCCTGGGCTCCGGGACGGACGCCCAAGCCTGAGAAGGCTTTCTTCCCCAGGCTCCTTCGTGACCATGCTGGAATGGCCGCTCTACAGATAAGGAGGGCAAAGAAATCCAAGGAGGCCTCTCAAGGCCGCCCGGCAAGTGCGTGAAGGAGGAGACGAAACTCCCTCGGGTCTAAACCCTAGAGCTCCACGCGTTCACGTGGAAAGGGGACGCCGCCGCCGTGCCAGGTGCCCGTCTAGGCTCTGGAGAGACAGCGCTATGCCTCTGCCCACGTGTGTCGCATCCCAGTGTGAGGGCAGTTAGACAGTAAACACAAACACAGACTGACAGGAGTGATAAGGGCTCTGGAGGAAACACCTGGCAGGATAACATGACAGGAGACTCAGTGGGGTCGACTCTGATGGAGTGGTCAGGCAGGCTCTTGAGGGAGCCTGTTTTGACAGGGGCGACCCAGGGAGTCCCCCCAACCTGAGGGTCTATAACAGAGGTCCTCGGAAAGACGTGTTCTTCCTCTCCCGGCCAAACAACACAGGGGCAAGGACGAGGGCGGGCTGATCCTAAACCAGGTCCTCAGCCGGCCATGAGTGGCACAGTGGTATCACTACGACCAGCCTCCCCCCCAGGACAGACCCATCGGTCACCAGAGTGGGCTAATGGGGACCTCAGCAGGAACCTGGTCTACCTGGAATGAAAGCTGCGCCCAAGGCCGTGCTGTGCATGCAGCCGCCTCTGGAATGTGCTGACCCTCCGCATCCCAGCCACCCCTGCCCGCCAGGGGCTCCCACCATCTCCCACCTGAGTGTCATGGGACCTGCAAGGAAACCTCCTGAATGGATGGGTGAGCCACCTCTTAACAGTCCCTGTGACTGGTCACCTGATGCCTGTTGCCCATGCCAGGCCAGCCTTCCACACACTCCAGGGTCTCTCTAGCTTGTTTTCAGCACGCTGTATCCTCTGCTCCCAACAGGCAGCCCTCTACCCTCCTCTCACCATCCACCGCCCTCTCCACCCCGATTAAAAACGCTGCCTCATTTGCACAGGTGATGACTTACTGATAAGCTTCAACTCCTGGACACTTCTGACAGCCCTCCCATGGCTCACCCCCAGCTGGGATGGGGCTCATCTCTCGAGGCCAACCCTCCTCATCTCTCTACCTGCCCCACAGAGGCTGGCAGGCTGAACACAAAGTGCTGTGCACGCCCGCATGTGAACAGTTCCAAGTCAGGCGATGCCCAGTTTAACTTCCTTTCAGTGTTGGGGCTGCACAGCCCTCCTTGGGATAAAAGCCCGACACCCGTGTCTAAAAGCTTACGGCAGCCTGGGAACAGACAATGCCCGTGACGTGGGCCAGGTGGGACTCATCTCCTCTACTATTTCCTGGGCTGCCCCACAAGCACAGGGGTCCACCCAAAACCCAGACGTCTCCCACGGCTGGAAGACCTCAGCACGGCGTCTGTACATCCCCAGCTGAAAGGGAAATGGGAAAATAAAAATAAACCTGGATGGGAACTATGGGGCGAAGGGACCCTAAAATAGAACATCTCACTTCTTCGGAAGGAGAAGCAAAATAAAATTAACCTCCAAATATGAGAAGTGACACTGTGACCACTGCAACGAGGAACTCAATTAAGTGGCATTATGTATAAATTTAAAAGATTACACTATTGGGTAATCCTAGCGGGCGGTAGGAGTAGGGTAGGAAAGAGTACCAGAACTCAGTCTGTTTTTCAGAAAAAAGAACTCTGACAGCAAGAATGGCTGCTGCCTAAGAGGCAGGGGGTCTGGCGGGCAGACAGGTGGGCGCGTACCTTGTAGCAGCGGTACTTGTAGAGCAGGACCAGGAAGATGGTCATGACCACAATGACGCTGATCATGATGAGGGTGTTCAGCACTGAGTTGAGGAGGCGCTGGCCCACCGAGGGTGTGTCCTCCGTGAACGGCGTGTAGATGCTGACAGAGAAGGCAGAGCTGGGTCTCTGCTCCCTGCCTGTTCCGGACGACCCCCACCCTGCGGGGGTCTCAGACCCGCCCAAGGAGGCGTCCTGGGAACCTCCCACCACTGCCCACCATCCCCACAAGCTGCCTTGCCTTCCGACCCGTCTCCTGCCCCCCGACCCCAGCCTGATGACTAAGCCCGATGCAGTGGCACGGAAGGACCTGGAAGGCCCACCAAGGCCTCCCTACCCCCTCACTTCTCAGCTCTGGTCAAGGGAGACCCAGCAGGTCCCATATCCACTTCTCCACCAGCCCCATGCCGCCTAGAACGTGCCCCGCTGCCTCCCCTCTGCACACCCAAGGTAGCCCAGGGGCTGCACGTGCAGTTAACAGACTCAGGAAGCAGCTCAGTGATCCCTCGTCCAGCCTGGCCGGTGGGAGCAAACTGCCTGCAAAGCACTCAGGCTCCCTCAGTGCTTTTCCCCTGTGCTGCTTGGAGCCCCACGGACTCTAAGCCTCCCAAGGGTGGGGCGTCTCTCTCAGCTCCTCTCTTTACAGGAACCAATGCAAAACTGAACAAAACTCCCCAACTAAAAAGGAAAGGTGCTCAGAGCAGCCACTCAGCAGTGACTCCCACGGACAGCAGGGCGAGGGGGCAGAGCGAAGCTTCTCACTGCTCTGTGTGCCGCTGCTGTCTGCGTCCTTTTTACCAAAATAAAGACAATCCCCCACGAGGCTGGGAGCGAGCTAAGAAATCACCCTGCACAGCCAGTATGGTTTACGTTCATGGGAGCAGAAGCCCAGAGAGGAACCGACCCGACTGTGGTCACACAGGGACTCGGCGCCCGGAACACTGAGCCTGGGCGGCATGGCAAGAGCTGCCTTCTACGCTAACACCTGGCGTGCACTGCGGCAGGCCCCGGGCTAAGCCCTTTACGTGGATTAACTCACTTGATTCTCCTGGTAACCTCGTCATCAAACCCATTGTACAGAGGAGGAAACTGAGGCAGAGAGGTCAGGAACATGCCCAACAGGTCACAGAGCCAGGAGGCAGTGGATGGACCAGGTGTGGACTTGGGCAGCTCCTCATCCCCAATTTTTCCCACTGTGGCATGGCGCTGCAGGGGGAACCCAAGAGGCTGCAAGCCCCCTACCCCAGCCTGGTGCCACCCCGCCCCCCCCCGGCCCCCGACTCACAGCTGTCCGTTCTTCTCCGTGTAGAAACGCACGGACTTGATGGTGGCCACCACCACGATCATGCACAGCGTGACGGGCACAAACAGCATGATCACGTGCTTTGCCCCGTACTTGAGGGTCAGCTCCTCCTCCAGGCCCGGCGGCCGCCCAGGGACCCCGCTGCAGACGTAGTGGTCAGGGTCCTCCTCGTGGTCCTCCTCGCCGTCCTGGCCTCTCTGTGGAGAACCACAGCGTGAGGGCCACAGGCCGCCCCCCCCCGCCCCGCCCAGGTGGCCTACTGATGTGATGCATGGGTGCCTTGTACGGGGAAACAAGAAGTCTGAATGTCACTTTCCTGATGTAAGAACCAGCCTAGGGGCTGTAGTTCGGCTGTCAGGGTGCTGGGATCCAGGACACTGGAAAATTCCTCATGGGGACAAGCAGAGAAGACTCAGAGTTGGTACCAACCACTAGAGATGCAAGAAGGGAGGCTGCGGCGGCCCCCGAGGAGGGCAGCGGGCAGGCCCACGACTCATGGCTAGTGGATTTGGAGCACGTCTACGGATCTTTGCCCTCCCTCAGGATGCCACTCGGTTCTGTTCGCATGGCCACACTAATTCGAGAGGAGACAGGCCAGGTGACGGAAAACAGAGACTAAACATTTTTGGTTGACAAATCACAAACCAGAATAGTTGGTATACAGGAGGACTCTCTGATTATGACGGTGACACTGGGAATTTGCAGACGAAGAAGCTACTTTTTTCTTTTTTCCCCCCCCCCCCCCCCCCCCGCAATGAAGCATGCCAAATTTGCAGCTGTGAACCAGAGCGGCTGATGGGAGTCAAGCCCCGGGGAGGACACGGGCTAAACGACAGGGCAGGACGCCTGCCTGATGCTGGCACAGACTCATCCGCAAGAATCTCTGTTTTTTGGAATTGTGGCAATTCAGGCAATTCACTGGCTGCCTTGTTCATTTGATTAACAGCTAAAACAAAAGCCAAATGAAACAGAAATCAAAAATGACCATCGCTTCAGTGTCAGTTCCCTGCACAGAGAATTCCAATCTAGATATTCAGCCAAGAACGAAAGGAAACTATTAATGGACAGGAACTGAAAACTAACACGCACAAAAACTCCAGGAGATGAAAAACAAACAGATGAGCAAGAAAAGGCTAAGGAGCGGCCTTTTGGTGGCCTGGAGCTGCTGAGCTCCTGCTCGGGCACAGAGCGGGCAGAAGAAGAGAGCTCAGAGGTCAGCAAGGGGGCTAAGGCTGGCAGGAAGAAGTCCACACGGAAAGGTTTTTAAACACAGTAAGCGGGCAAAACGGACAACAGGATCCAGGCAAAAGCAGACGCTGTTCTGCCCTGATGGGGAGGGAGGTGGCGGGGCTGGGTGACTCTCCCAAGCATGCCCCCCACTCCATAAAGTTATAATCTTCTGCCTTGTGGGCTGCAGAGATAAGATCCCACTGAGTGGACCCCTCCTGCTATGGGCTGAATGTCTGTGTCCCACTAAAACTCATATATTGGAACCTAAGCCCCAAGGGGATGGTTTTAGGAGGTGGGGCCTTAGGAAGGTGATTAGGTCATGAGGGTGGAGCCCTCATGAGTGGGATTAGTGTCCCTATAAAAGGGACCCCAGAGAGCTCCCTCCCTTCTTCCACTGGGAGGACACAGGGAGAAGACGGTTGCCTATGAACCAGGAAGGGGCCTCACCAGACACGGGATGTGCCAGTGCCTTGATCTTGGACTTCCAGCCTCCAGAAGAGTAAGAAATAAATTCCCGTTGTTCTAAGCTCCCAGTCTGTGGTCTTTTTGTTACAGCAGCCTGAATGGACCACGACACATCCCCAGCTCAAGAGTCAAACATGAACTGGGCATGCTCCTCACGTCTGGCCATCTCCCTCAAAGGTCCCCTCCAGCAGTTGTCTTCCTGCCACCTTCTAGCCCGTGCTACCCGTCCAGGCATGCGAACTCACTCTCACGGCCCTGCGGGAACAGTGACCCACACCAGGAAGGTGAATCTAAGGCCCGGGGCTGCATGGAGAGACTCACTCGGGCCACTGCAGTCGACCTTTCACAGGCTGCAAATGCGCCGAGTCCACTATAAAGCCCCGCGGCCGTCAGCTCCACGACGGTGGACGGCCCACCCGCTGGGTCCATTCTCACCCGCCCTCCCACATCCGGGAACGTCTGGGTTCCACCCATTAGGAACAGGAGTCCTCAGAGCACAGGCAGGAACCTACCCACGGGGCAGCACTCTCTCCGTCCTCCGGGCCCGGCCTGCCTTCCTGGCAGGAGCGCGGCGTGGGGCTCTCGGCTGACATCAGGGACGTCCGCTCGTCGCACACTTCTTCCTCACTGTCAGAGGCCATGAACGTAAGCATAGCCCCACCGTGGGAAGCACCTGGAAAAAGGAGGACACGGACCTCGTTCCACTTTGCCGTGCAAAGACAGCAGAGGACTGAGAGGGCAGGCTGGAAGCTGCTTAAAGCCTGGACACAGGTCCTGCCCTGCAATGACCCCCCAGGGCACGCGTGTCAAACAACCGCTCTAACACAACAGGCCCCAAGAGCCACCACTGAGGCTGCAGTGGCCTCAGGAGGGAAGAGCCCTGAGATCCAGGCCACAGGGGTGAGAGGGGGACAAAACACCCAGCTAGAAAAGTCAGGGCGGCTCCAAACTGTAGCACACTCATTCATTCAATCAACAAACATCTATTAAGCAGCTACAGTGTGCCAACAACAGTGCTGGGCTCTGGGGATATAAAGGTGAGTTTAAAAAAAACACTTTTGTCCTTAAAAAAAACCCCAACCATCCAACGGGACAAATGATATAATCCACATGTTCAGCAAGAGGTGCAGAAGCACAAAGAAGGAACTAAATCTCAGAGATGGAGAACGTTTTCTAGAGAGAGACTTTCCAGGTAGGAGGGAAGGGCAGAGGGCACGAAGAATGTTCCAGTCAGGGCCTGGCGCTGCGGGGCAGAAGGTATGAAGGGTCTCCTGTGCCGTGTCAAGGGGGTGCACGTCATCCCGAGGTCAGAGGTGATGGGCAGATCAGATCGGCGTTTAGAAACGTCAGTCTAGCCACTAACCGAGAAAGGAGCACAAAGAAGGGGAGGTGACCCCCTGAAGACAACTGGGGGCAGCGAAGAGGGCCCAAGCTGGCAGCAGGACGGATGCAAGTGAGGGGACAGACCCCAGCAAGGGCGAGGAGGAAAACAGGCAGGACCGGATGCAGGGGATCAGACAAAGGACGGAGTCCAGGACGACAGCCAAGCCTGGAGGGAGACAGGAGAGGAGAGGAGAGCTTGTGGATTGGATCCAGGAACCTGCTGGGTATGAAGGGCTTGAAAGAGGGCCACCTTGAAGTGGAGGAGCAGAAGATGAGAGTCGTGAGTCTAGAAGTGGCAGCCGAAGCCACGGGACAGCGAGACCACATGGGGAGCATGTGTGTGTGTGCGGTGTGGGAAAGCGCAGCCCAGGGCAGGACCCGTGGACCACACAGGAGGGAGCCTGTCACCACTCCCGCAGTGCTGTCCCGAGGGTGTGTGCAGGCAGCAGCACCACGCCGAGCCTGGAAGAGCCCGAAGGGGCAGGGAGAGTTTCCGATAACCCCGGTGGATCTGACGGTCCCCACCAACCTCCCGAGAGGGCCAGCTGAGCTACCAGCAGAGCCGGCTCTCCCCACCACTGCCTCCCGGAGACCCTCAGGGCTGAGCTGCATGTCACGAGGGACAGCCAGCAAGGTCGGCCCTCTGCCGAAAGTCTGGTCTGTCTCCACGTCAGTCACCCCCAGAAGTGATGCGATTTTCAGACAAAGCTGCAGGATCCTTCCAAAGGGTCAGTCAGTTCTGTTCGTGCCTGCAGGTCTGTGGCTGCAACTCTTTCTGAAGACGGCGACCTGGGCTGCGGCCTGGATTACTCCCGCGTGGATTTCAACTCCATTCCCCGAGTACGGGCCCCACAGAGCCTGTCTATGTTCCCCTCACTACCAGTCTCCCCGTCATCTTGCAGGGCTTTCACAGTGAAGCCGCTCCCCACGGTGCAGGGTAGGGAAGACTGGAACGGAGGAGCAGCACAAGGAAGCAAAGGAAGAAGATGCCAGGAGGGGCGACAAGGACATTGTGCTACGGGAGTCAGGATTAAGAGAAGGGACAGTCTATCAGCTGTCAGCTTAGATGTCTCAGGTCTCAAGGACTCGCAGGTTAGGAACAGCTTGCCAGAGAGTGAAGGAGGTGGGGCATCCTGGAAAGAAGTGACCTCGTAAGTAAATGGGTGGCATGGGGGAACCTAATGGGCCCATTCCAACAATCCCAGGCACTCTGATGCGGCTGAAGCGTGGGGACCTGGGAGGCGGTGGTGGGAGAGGAGGCTGGAGAGGTGGGGTGGACCATCCCAGGGAGGGCGTGGGCACCCGACTGAGGATGGAGAGCTGAATCCAGTAGATGGGAGCCAGGGAAGGTTTCTGAACAGACTGAGTTTTAGGAAAGCAGGGCCAGCTGAGCAGCACTGCCCAGGGGGGAGGGGGCCTCCTCCCCACAGCCAGGCTCAGCCCAGGGCCACAGGAGGGTGGATCTGCCCTTGGTGGCCACACTTTGGAACCAGCAGAGTCTAACCAACAGAGCCCAATTTGAGGGAACGCGCTTTGAAGCCCCCGCAGGCCGTGAGACCTCGGGAAGTTCTCAGCTTTAGGTCCTTCCTCTATGGAAGAAACTATCTAACGGAGACCCGCAAGCAGAAACTTCAGAGTCGTTCTCTGCGAGGCTCGGCCTTGCCAATAGATAAATCCTGGACAAACCCGCTGCGCACCCAGCGGTTCCCCTCATGACCCACTCTGGCAAAGGTGGGTCCATCCTTCCTCACAGAGGGGCCCCGGCACAAAGGGCTGGCTGTGCTTTCTCACGGTGAATTGCCATGTCCACCTGGAGCAGCGCTGAGATGGGGGAAGAGCCACGGGCAGCCCCCTCAACACTTTCTTTTCTAGCACGTCGGTTTTGTTTGGGATGTGAATTAATGAGTGAGTTAGGATCTCCCTCCTCTGTGCCTCCCAGCCTCCGGGATGCCTGTGATTTACCTTCCCAGTGACTGGAGGAGCACAGGAGGAGTCCTTGCCCCGAGGAGGTCCAGGGCTGTGTCCCTAGGGCAGAAGGTAAGCTCGCCCTTCGGAACCATGACAGCTGCAGCTCCGGGGACTCCCAAACAGCACAGCACGAGGGAAACGGACAGACAGGGAGCAAAGAGGCTTCTTGAAAGGAGAAAGAGCTACGGGGAGGCTGGGGCAGAAGTGGGGGACCCAGGTTCAAGAGGAGTTAAGTCCTTCCAATTTCCACGGCTTCAGCTAGTCACTAACAAGACGGCTCCTGGAAAGCACTGTGTCTCCGAAAGTGTCCCGCCATGTGAGAAGGACCGCCCGGGGAGGGAGAGCTTAAAAAAGGACGGCACCCCTTCCGGGTGGAACTGGACTGAAAAGATGGAGAAACACCAGAAAACCAGAAATCAGGCTTTTCACGCCGCCAAACGTAACTCCTATATGGCCTCCTGGCCAGAAAATGGACACTCTCTGGGCAGATTCCTTCACCATCCCACTTCTCAAAATTCCTCCCAAACCCTCCCTGAAGCTGTGCCCAAGGCTCCCAGAAAAGTGGGAGAATCAGGAAGAGCTGGTCTTGGCTGTCAAAACGAGGATACAGCCCCCGGGGCCCAGTGGGGTGGAGGTGCCTCTCTGAGCTCCTAGCACCTGGGGGCACGACTTGGGACCAGGAAAGGCTGGACCCCTTAGGATGGCATTTCCCAAAGTGGTGCAGGCCGCCCGACAGGTGGTGGCAGAAGACCACCCCTGAGCCCTCACTCCGCACTGAGCACAATAACCTGGGGGGCTGGCTACTGCCATTCTTCCCCACTTCAAAGATGAGGAAACGAGTTTAAAACGCGTTAGGTTCAAAGTTACCCTCGGACCCAGGTCGTCAGGTGCTGCGCTTTTCAACACTTTGGTAAGCTGCTTATTTAAAATGCAGATCCCCGCCTCCATCCTGACCAAAGGCCCAGGGATCTGCACCTTGCGATGGCCCCTGGGGGATTCCCCAGCTGGTGGAGACCCTCCCTGGGGCTGCCCCAGCCTGGGCCCCCAGCTCAGCGCCGCACACGTCCGGTGACGTCCACCTCCCTGTCGAGGAGGCAGGGCAGCCCCGCTGCTCCACGGCTCACGCTCCAAATGGGGGATGAGAGAAGGTACAGTCCCTCCTCCTGAACACGCTGTGTCTGGTCAGAGAGCGACCGCAGGCAGAGGAGAAGAAGCTCGTCTGGCGAGGAGAGGGCAGGGGCAGGCGAGAGGGCTCAGGCTGAGAATGTCCCCAAGTAATGGCCCCTCGGAGGACGGCGTGGAAAATGGCTTTCCAAGGCTGCTGTGGGGACAAACTGGGCGGGCCTTTCTGAAGGCAGGAAAAATAAAGCTTTCAAAAAGATTCATACCTTTTGATCCTGAAACGCTACTTCTCGGAATCTGTCCTAAGAAAATAATAAAAGATTACATAAAAACATGTTTGCTACAGTTATTTTATAAGTGTAAAAAAGGTAAAAATGACTGAAATGCCTGACTCTGTCCTATGATTAACCCATCGGATGGGAGTTTCTAACATGACCACTAAAAAATCTTATTTCAAAGAATATTCAATAACATGAAAAAACACAACAGGATGTCAAATTTAATAGATATAAAACTTCACGTACATAATCATCTGAATTTTCTTAGAAAACGTATGTATACAAAGGACTGGCAAGAAATATTACAAAAGACTACAGACTCATCTTTGGATGGTGAGATGGTGGGTGATTTTTACTTTATATTTTTCTGCATTTCTCAAGCTTCTATAACAAACACACATTGCATCTGTAGGGGTTTTTAAGCAGTAAATATTTTAAAGGGAAATGAGTATGAACATTTAGGCATTTTCCTCGACTCCTGCCTCCTCCCGCACCTCCTCCCACTGGACTGAGGGGAGCAGATGGACTCCTGACATCTCCTAGCCCCTCTGGTTACCTGGCTCCTGAAGGAGAAAAGAGCAGCCGGGATGTACTCTTTTTTGCTTCTAAGTTGCAACTGAAGCCTGGTGCTATTCTGAAATCCTTGGAGGGAAAAATCACCACCTGAATGTGTACAGATAAACAACCTTCCTGCTAGACGTTTGTCCACAGCGGAGCGCCGGTGACGCCAAGAACCCCCGCCGGAGGCTGACTCACGGGCAGGTGGGGGTGGGGCTGGGTGACTGATGTCAAATCCCAACCACACAGCAACCAGCTCTCGTTCTCTTGAGGGAGCAGCAGGAAAACAGAGGCACTCATGGGAGGAGGGGGCGTCCAGAGTACGAGACTGTTCTAGAAACCCTTCCTGGAAGAAAGCACCGTGACGGAAAGCTGCCTTGGATTAGGATGCAAAATCAAAGACCCAGAGAAGCCATTGCTCGCTCCCATTAATCAGCTGAATGGGATCGAAATGCTGAATTAGCCGAACCAGGGGAGTCTGACTCAGAATTTCCCCTCCGCCCTGTGTCAGCAGTTCCTGCAATTATTATGGAAACCTGGTGACCCAATTTCCTCGACCTTCTTTTCATTTCGGAGAAACATAGATGGTTTAGACCTTAAAATTTAAGGCCAGTGGATCTAAATAGGAAATAGATTTTAAAATGCCACAGTAGACACTAAGAGCCTGATGGAAAGAGATGGAAACCGCTGCTCCAAAAGCAAACTGGGAGTCCCTGCATTTACCACCTACACCTGGGGCTGCAGAGAAAGGTCTGGATCCCGGGCACTGCATTTCTTTTTCACAGCAGGCCTAACGGAACAATGCTCCTTCGCTTTCAAAGAGGATGGTGTTGGCTTTAAACAGGCCACTTTCCAGGATCACACAGTTACCTCACAGTGCTCCCATGACTCCTGGGGAGTCCCCACAGCCTTCTCTCATACGAGGGTAGGGTTTGCTAAGATGAGGAAATTCCCACAGCCTCCCTGCCGGCCCGTCTCCGGAGTCCTGGGCACCTGACCATGTAGTTGGCCCCGGCTGACCCTCATCCATCTGTCCATCCACCTCAGCCCATACTGGGACGCACGTCACTTGCCAGATGGTTCTCCCCAACACAGGGAGGCGGCCTCGGCCAGTGCTGGGGCCTGAGTCCCACAGGGAGGCCCTGAAGGACTGCTCCATCCTCCAGATCAGAGGCCCCAGGGGACCCTCATAGGACCCCATGAACCTTGACCCATGCTCTCAATTCACTGCCGTCTGCGCTCCCCTACTCAGAAGGGCCCAGGACCCAGGCAGCTTTCTCTCTATTTCCTGAAGTAGCCTGGAAGGGGTGCAGAAGAGAAGCTGTGCAGGTGGCCACACGGGCCATGCCTCTAACATGCCATCTTCAAGTAGGGCCCAGAAAAAAAAATTTTTTTTTAATAAGCAGCAGCAAGCCAGTGGTCAAAAGCAGGGGCTGTGGAGACTGACCGGGTTCCAACCACCCAGCTGTGTGACTTGAACCACATACTCCCTGGCTCCAAGGCCTCGGACAATTTATTTAACTTGACATGGCCCATTTCCTCTTCTGGAAAAAGCAGAATCGGCAAACCTTGCAAGAGGACTGTAAAAACCAGAGACGACGTATAAAGTGTCTGGCACACAGCGGGTGTTCAATCAACGGCAGTTATGGTGAAGATGAGATCGAGGCAGGGACACAGGGAGAGTGGATAACGGAAGCCTGCTGATGCTCTTCCCAGAAAGTTCCAGATCTGCTAAACCACCAGACCCACGAGTTGAGCTACGGAGGTCACCAAACCTCATCTGGGCCCTGGGGAGATGGCCCGTTTCCGCCCAGCCCCGGCCCAGGGCACTCTGGCAATGGGAACATTTTGTCGCAAGAGAGGGCATGTCCATAGGACCGATGTCAGAGCTGGCAAGGACCTTAATGGCCATCTAGTCAGCGCCCCTTTTTTTTTTTTTTTTTTAAAGATTTTGTTTTTCCTTTTTTCTCCCCAAAGCCCCCTGGTACATAGTTGCATATCTTTAGTTGTGGGTCCTTCTAGTTGCGGCATGTGGGATGCCACCTCAGCATGGCCTGATGAGCAGTGCCACGTCTGCGCCCAGGATCCGAACAGCACCCTCTTTTATAGTTAAGGAAACTGGAGCCCAGAGCGACAGGGGGAAGCCGTTCAAGTCCCATGACCAAAAGCCACAGTTACAGCCCAGGTCTCCAGATGGCCAACTGGGGAGCTCCTCCCTGCCCCCTCCACGGACAAGTGAGGGCCACGTGCTCAGGGGCCCAGGGCCATGGGCCCGCAGGTGCCCACAGAGCCATCCCGCAGGCTCTCCAGGGACATACCCACTTATAAGGCAGTGCCTTTGCCCCAGGCAGGGAAGTGTGTGTCTTTTCTCACACCCAGCTTCTCCAGGACACAGCCGACAGAGCAGTCAGTGAATTACAAACGTCTCCTGACCCCTCCCCCACCAGATCACCTGCCGCTGGAAAAACTCAATAAAATCTCTCTCCTGTCCCCACCCCAGCACCCCAGTCTGGAGGCCCGCTCTGCTCCCCCTCTATGATCCACATGAGGGCGAGGGGTACCTCCAACCTGGGCGTGGCACGGGGACGGGAGTCAGGGCACGGCCTCTCTGGGTCCGTTCAAAAGGGAAGGTGTCCCGCGGTGGCACTGGTGAGATAAACATGGCACGTTCAAACGCCCCACACACCCATCAAATCCAGTTTTCCAAGAACACTCAATGAAGGGCAAATTCTGAAGGACACACTTCATCTCCAGTCTCCTACTCTCATATTTTAACAGACAAATGTATGTATGTGCATGGAGGGCTGTAACGAAACGCATGTCAACAGTGCTCATCTCTGGGCTGAGGATTAATGGCTGACTTTTAAAAAAGTACTTTCTCAATTTTCTAGAATGAACGTGTATTACTTTTATTTTCAAAAAGTCAGGCAGTTTCTGGTTAAGGTACAGCAGAAAGGGGAGCACCCTTTCCATCTCTCTTCCCAGGCCCCAGAAGCCTGTGCTCTGGCAAAGATGAATGAGCAACCTATTCTCCCAAGCAATGAAGAGGTGGACAAAAATGATGTCCCTCCCCAACACATGGTCTTTCCTGAGGGCTGATCCGAAATTACTCTTTCCCCAGACTTTAACATGGCAGCCTCGCCAGCTCCAGGCCTAGGGGCCAACAGTGATTCTCCAAGGCTTGGTGCCCACGTCAGGTCTGGCCAGCTCAAGGTGAGGAGAACAGCCCAAGCCCTGACCAGTGGCAGCCTGGAGGGCGTGCCAGCCTAGGAGCCCCACCGCTCCTCCCCCAGCCCCACCCCCAGCTGCTGGAATCAGGCAACAGGTGGAAATACTTGCAGAAACATTTGCTGTCTTGCCAGTGCCCAATAAACAGTGTCCAAAAATCAAAGCAACAGCTGAAAAGCAGCCAAAGATGTCTTCAGTGGAAACACGCATGGCACCTACACACACTGCTCTAATTTGTTTAAAAAAAAAATTTTTTTTTTTCCTTTTTGCTTTGTCAGGTAGACCTAACTAATGGAGACCACACAGAAATTTCCTGGGCAGTAGAGCAGAGACATGGGTCGGGGGTAAACCTGGGAAGCATCCTGTGCAAAAACTCCAAAGATGAAGACGACGCAGCCAGCTGGGTTCAAATCCCGGGGCTCACAGTCACTGAAGCCACCTAATGGGACAAGCTGCTTAACCCCCTGAACCTCAGTTTCCCCTTCTGTAGAAGGCTAACTTTTGCATAACAATAGCTACTTTTGTGTGACTGAAGCTCTTAAGGTAACTGTGGTATCTACAGTGCAAACAGCTTTTCACTGCAGATGACAAACTCACAGGGGAAGCTATGATGTCAGAGGCCAAGGTAGGCGGAGGTCCCTCCTTTGGCAAACCCGGTGCGTGCAGAGGGACTGCCAGCAGCCACAGAGGAGCTGAGGGGCGGGGCGGCAGGCTGACAACCTGCACGAGTCTCCAGGCACATCTGAGCGGCAGCCTGTGGCCAGGCTCTTCCTCGTCCTCCTCTTTCTCAAACAGGCAGCAACAGAGCATCCACCTCCCATACACACACCAAGTAAGACGCTGGGCTTGCTGCACAGGCACCTTGACACCAAGGACAGAGAGTTTTCCCTGAAAACCTGACAACATCCGCCCCACTCTGCCCCACTCTGCAGGAACCTGGACAGCCTGCCCGGGTGGCTGAGGCCACAGCCCTGAGCTGGAGTCGAGACCCCGGGGGCCTTCACCAGCTGGGCCCAGAAAACACCGCTGCCACAGTTGCCCCACTCCCACACAGCACGGCCACACAGAGCGGAGCCCGAGGCTCACACACCTGAGGCAACTGATCCAGAGCCTTTAGTTACCGCCAAAGGCCTTGGCCAAGGCATTGGAGGCTCAGGTGTCTACAGAACGGACTATGCACACACCCGGGGCATCCACACCGGAAGCCAGGTCCGTGCTGCTCAAGTTACTCAGGACAGGCTCGGTAGCCCAGGCTGTGCATTTCGAGTTAAGCCAGCTCTGCCATTGTTCTGGATGGGGTGCCTCTCAGGTTCTCCATCTGTCAATGGGGCTCAGTTAGTCCACCAACCAACAGCTCACACCTTAAAAAGGGAATATTCACTAAGTCAACAGACAGGAGCACTTCCCCCAACTGCCAAAGGGCTGAGGTCTGGTCCCAGCTCTGGACAGCAGAACTGGAGGCCAGGACAACGGGTTCTAGGCCTGGCTCCGCTGTATCCTACCTGGGCGACTTGGACAAAGGCACTTCAGCTCTGTGGGCTGAGTTTCCTCATGGATAAAATTTGGGGTGGAAACTAGCTTCTGTTTCAGGTTCTTTCAGCTTCAAAAGCTTGACACTGGGAGTCTCCCCACAGCCGTCAATGCCTGGAAAAAACAGCCCGACACCGCTAATAACGAAATCGCCAGCTCCAGACCCCAACCTGGTTCTTCACAAGACCCCCGCCTCCCCTGCAATCCCCGCAAAGCAGCGCCCTGGGGCGAGTGCCAAGGAGGTCCCAGCCAGCAAGGAAGACCACACGCCCCTGAGAGCACGTGCACTGCTGCTTTAAATGCCCGGCCCCGGCCGTGAGCAGCTCGCACCGCGCCCACCGCGGCGGGGAGGACCACGGCACCCAGCTGCGGGCCCGAGGCTCGGGCCCCCC